GATCGAAAAGTACCTCGATCTCTGCGGGACTTTTAAGCTTTGAAAAGTCATGATATACCCATGTGCAGAAACCCCAGAGGACACACTCCACTAATCAGGGATAAAAACATCCAAAATGATTTTTGGTCTTTTTCTAGAACAATTCAATCAAAGTGTCGCAGGACTTTTCGAACAACCTAATATAATAGGAGAATCTTAACCTCAATAATCGACTAATCGCGTCTGTATGTTTGTCACGAAATTCATTCCGTCGCAGGCATGATGAAGGGTGGGAGACAGGAACATTATTAGTAGGTGACAGGCAGGAGGTGTTTACAGTTGAAGAGGGTAAGGGGAGTTGGAACTCGAGCGAGGTCTGATTCATATGTAGCTCGTGCCACAGTAACATTAAAAATTTGATTCTAAAAGGTGATATGGGGGATTACCGATGAGTGGCTGGTGACGCAAAGGGATAATTGGGTAGGGGTTGGTATAGGGCGGTGTCGCTGTCGTTCTTTTTCAAAGATGTGCAGCTTGCAAAGTACCATTCACAGGGTAGAGTGATATGAACACTGGTGATGGGTAACAAATGAAAATATCTACAGATAAGGAGGGGTTGTGTAGGGAAGACTCAGCATCAGACATATTAGGACTTGTATGCGCTCGCTATTGCGTCGCGATACGTTAGGAGTGGGTTGTGGTCAGAGGCACAGCGGCAGGCGATGATATGCTCTGCACCCTATAGCTTTGAAAGATGTCCGTCAGCGAATGTGATCAGGAGGGGGTCTTCTCAAGCATAGGCGTTGAAGCGCCGCGGTTACTTATAACACGCTTCGCGAAAAAAAAGTTTCGCGTTCGGTGGAGAATAGTCCTCCTCATTCCGCTGCATTCTTTGCTCCGTTTATTTTCAATCAGGACTCTCAACAGTTTTGTTTGATCGATCTCTATCAGTGAAATGAGTGGGCACACCAAAATCTCATTCAGTGTTATGTGGAGGACCAGTCATTATGCGGTCACCAATAAAATGGAATTCCTCAAATGCATAAATTCACTGAAACCGAACCCGAAGAGTTGATAAAAAACTGTTTTCGCTTCATATTCCATTGTTATTCAACAAAAGAGCAAAAAAACTGTTTTTCAACAGCCACCTATCGGCACACCATTGCACCTCATTCAATACGAGTTTGACAAATGTACGTTTCCACGCTCACTACAAACTTTGCGGAGTAACCGGAGAGACCTGCCCTTCGAACCTGCCAAATGTTTCTTTTCGCCCATTCTCTGTGGGTATACCGTGAAATGTCCCTCGAAGAAAGGTCCGCGATGACCTATGTAAATGGAAGAGGTTATGTGGGAAGACGGTGCGATCTGGAGTGGACAACTTGCCAGTTTCGCGGCGGAAAGTTGCACGGTAAAGGAATCAAAAAATCAAAGGCGCAAAGTCACTTCAGTGGTACATCCCTTTTTCCAGTGACTCCGCCTCCAGACTCCGCCTCCAAAGTCGGCCTTCCAGCCAAAAGTAATGCTCCCGGGCAAGTATCATGGAGTGGATGCATTCAATGTCTCTTGTAGAGTCATAGGGTTCATTACTGGGAATCAGCCGACGGGAATCGTCCCAGCGCGCGGTCTTTTCGGTCTTTTACCTCTACAGTTGTTTGAGGCTAGAGGAGGCCTGACGAATGCGTTTCCAACGTTCCCTTTGGCATTTTCTCTTCATAGACGGTTCACTTGGCGAATTTTCTTCCACATTTCTGCAACATCATCTAAGCTTTTTATCGCAGGCCGTGCCTGTAATTTACGGCGGAGACCTTCCTGTCAGGTACATTCTCTGGGAGGCTCCTCTTCCTGCAGCATAACGCCTACGCTATCAGTCCTGTAGCCACCTTATGGCGCAGCAGCCGGATGCTTTGAGTGATTCATGCTGACTTGCTCTTTACATAAAGTAGCCTTCGCATCACACACATGGTGACTGGAGATTCGTCGGAGGAAACTCTACATTAGTCACCTAACCTTTGTGAAAGACCACAATTCGAAACGACTCAAAACCCGAACAGCTCAGCAAAACTGTTTAAAACAGTAATTACATGTGCCACATTATTTGTTTGTGTGTATTTGAGTCTGCAAAATGATCAGCGGGCATGATAAAAAAGCAACAGCTGTAAGATATTCTGGACTGCGTGACACACAAGGTCACATTTTGTGTACTTCCAGTGGCCGTGTGACACATATGATGTCACGACCCTGAGAAGCTGAAATTTTCCTGTGTTTCAAGTGTTGCGCAAACTCATTGAGTTGTTACATACCCCGGTGGGAGTACAAATTTCTCCGTGTGAAAATATCCGAAAATATAAATATATACTATACTGCATATCGAAAAGTCCATTCAATGATCTCTCCCAATTATAGAAGAAAGTCAAAGGGTAAGAAGTGAGAAAACGAGGTCTAAAGAACTATTGCTAACTTTTCACGGATGTGAAGTTATAGGATGAGTTTTTTGGTCAAAGGGCGTCAGAGGGCGTGGGGAGAATATAGCACTGTGTATGTTGGGTCAAACCTGAGGGAAGAATTCTGACATAGCAAATGCTAATTTTTCTTATCTTTTTCCTCTAAGACTTCAGTCAAAAGTTCACAGCGCTATATGGCTCCCAAATCCTTTGACTCAAGAGTTCCGAGTTTTATCCCATTCAGAAGCACTGTGCAGTCGTCAAGCTTCGAGTACCCTGTGCATTCATGAAATGTTAGCCACGGGTTTACAAGTTCCTCTCTTACTCTTAATTTTTCTCATTGGCTTTCTTCTATAAGTTAAACTTAGAGGAGACCAAGTTCCTAAGCTCCGAAGAGTGTACCGAACCCATCGTAGACCGCCATGGCGAGAGCATCGAAAGGGTCGAGGACTTCCAGTACCTGGGGAGCGACCTAGCAGCTGATGGCAGCGTGGACCAGGCGTGAAGGCCGGAAAACAGCCTGGATGAAATGGAGTCCACTGGCATCTGTGCGACCGGCGGTGCTCGAGAACGCTCAAGGGCAAGGTGTACCGGGCGGTGGTAAGGCCTACAATGCTCTACGGCAGTGAGTGCTGGCCCATCTGCAAGAACCATGAAAGGCAGCTCCACTCAGCTGAAATGAGGATGCTGAGATGGGCCTGCGGTTGGACACGACTCGACAGAGTCAGAAACGAGGACGTCAGGGCGGTCACACAGACGGCTCCTATCCAGAAGGCACGAGAGCAGCGACTGCGATGGTATGGAATACGTGCTGATGAGGCCTGACCTCCCAA